GTTTGGTCTTGCCAGTGCAGGGAGGATCAGAATCTGAATTGAAAATCTGGAGTTGGGTCTGGGGTTGTGGTTTTAAATTAACAGGAGTGAGACAGAGCGGTGCCACCCACTGAAAACCCTGGGGGAGGAATAGGAGAAGGGATTTTTAGCCTGAAAACAGTGGTGGTCTGGGAAATGCCATCAGATGTTGAAGCAGTGGGTTCCAAAGGGTTTCTTAGGAAAGAGGAGAATTAACAGCCTGAAAACTAAACTGGACAAAGTTCTCACCTGAATAATTTCCACTTTGTAATTCCCCCATTTGCCCTTTGCAAGTCCTTAATTTGCCCTTTGCCCTCTGTAATTCCATTTGCCCTTTCTAACTCCCACTTCTACCCTTTATAATTCCCATATTTACCCTTTATAACTCCTCAATTTACCCTTCATAATTCCCATATTTATCCTTTATAGCTGCCCCATTCACCCTTCATAATTCCCATATTTACCCTGTATAACTCCCCCATTTACCCTTTGCAATTCCCCCATTTCCCAACCCCCCCATACCCATTGTGCAGCCCTTTTACCCAAACCTTGCTATTTAATATATAAATTCCTCCTGTTTTAACCCTGTCCTCTCTCCCCCCATTTCAGGTGTGGCTCTATCCCATATATTTAATATAAATACATAAATTCCTGCTGTTTTAACCCTGTCCTCTCTGCCCCCATTCCAGGTGTGGCTCTGTCCCATATATTTAATATAAATAAATAAATTCCTGCTGTTCTAAGCCTGTCCTCTCTCCCCCCATTCCAGGTGTGGCTCTATCCCATGTATTTAATATAAATACATAAATTCCTGCTGTTCTAACCCTCTCCCCCCATTCCAGGTGTGGCTCTATCCCATATATTTAATATAAATACATAAATTCCTGCTGTTCTAACCCTGTCCTCTCTGCCCCCATTCCAGGTGTGGCTCTATCCCATGTATTTAATATAAATACATAAATTCCTGCAGATTTAAACCTGTCCTCTCTCTCCCCCCATTCCAGGTGTGGCTCTATCCCATGTCTCCCTTCCACGAGTGCTGCCTGCCGGGGTTGATGTGCCCCGAGCCCTTCGCCGTCACCTGCAACGAGACCTGCGTGATCCGATACCCCGACACCGTGGTGGACATCGTGGAACCCGACCACCCTCCCTACTCCCTCATCTACCCCGGCCCCACCCTCACCACCTTCCCCCAGCGCACCATCGTGGGATCCACCGGCCTGCCGGACCTCAGGAGCTTCCTGGGCTCCCGGGGATCTCTTGGGTTCAGGGGTATGTTGGGTGCTGGGGCAGCTTTGAGCTCAGGAGCGGCGTTTTCTAACGCAGGGAACTTTAATTTTTTCCCCCCTCCCTTATCCCGACTGTTTCGTTGTAGAGCTCGCAGGCCAGCCTAAAGCCAGCATGGATATCTGTGGATAGACTGAAAAGCAGATGCTGAGAACGCTAAAGAGCCCGACTAAGTTTATGGATAATGGATTAGAGAGAAGTGCTGAGCTGCCGAGGTTCCCAGTGGAGTCAATAAAGCCAGGGCTTCCTGGCACTTAGACCTGCCTGAGGATTAGAAAGCCCCAAACTCCCAAGAAACTGAAATTTCGCCTCTGAGCCGAGTCAAAATTAGGACGAAACAAAACCCCCCAGAATTTTTCAAGAAACCAGATTTTTCAAAAAATCTCTATTTTTTTTTTTTTCTCTTGGTTTGGTAAAAACTGTGTGTCAATAAATTCGTTTTTATGCCAACACTGATGTTCTATTATCGATTTATCTCCAAATAAAAAAAAGTGTAAAATGCATCAAAAGAATGGGACTGAAAATCCTGGGTTCCAAAATGAAAGTTGATCGAAATTCAGACTCATTTGTAAATTTTGCTGAACCAGCATTAAAAAACCAACCAACCAACCAACCAACCAACCAACCAACCAAAACCAGCTCTACTTGGCATTTCTTAAAAATTAGGTATTTGTAAGTCTTTCTTTTGCTTTAGTTCTGCTTAGGCCCACAATGTAATGCTTTCCCAGCTTCTTTTTCTGCCTTTGTCTTATTTGATACAAGCCAGGGCAAAATCAAAAATATCAAGTAATTGTAATTGCAGGTTCCTTTTTTTTTTTTTTTTTTTTTTTTTTTTTTTTTTTTTTTTTTTTTTTTTTTTTTTTTTTTTTTTTTTTTTTTTTTTTTTTTTTTTTTTTTTTTTTTTTTTTTTTTTTTTTTTTTTTTTTTTTTTTTTTTTTTTTTTTTTTTTTTTTTTTTTTTTTTTTTTTTTTTTGGCCAAATCCTTCAGATCAAAGAAGAGCAATCTATGCAAAATCATGGAACTGGGGCTTCCTTCACTGAAGACCCTCCTGAAAGCCTTTGATTATATCCAGATAGCTTTGCTCTCCTGTGTATCCAGCTTTTCGTTCCCATTAAATTCTGTCTTGCAGCAGCACTTTTGGGTTTTCCTTTCTCACAGTCCCAGAACGGGTTGGTTGGAAGGGACCCCAAAGCTCATCTCGTTCCAACCCCACAGGCAGGGACCATCTTCTACCAGCCCAGGTTGCTCCAACCTGGCCCTTGGACGCTCCCAGGGATGGGGCAGCCACAGCTTCTCTGGGCAAAGCTGTGCCAGGCCCTCCCCACCCTCACAGGGAACGATTCCTTCCCAACATCCAACCTAAATTTCCTCCCCTGACAGTTTGAACCCATCACCCCTTGTCCTGCCACTCCAGTTCCTGGTCAACCACTGTCCCTCTACACTTTTTTGAGCCCAAACAAAATCCCAGAATCCCTGAGGTTGGGAAAAGACCTCCGAGGTCAGCAAGTCCAACCTTTGATCCATCAGCATCTTGTCCCTCCAGCCCAGAGCACTCAGTGCCACATCCTTGGACACCTCCAAGGGGTGGGGACTCCAAACCTCCCTGGGCAGCCCCTGCCAAGGTCTGACCACCCTTTCCATGGGGAAATTCCTGCTCATGGCCAACCTGACCCTCCCCTTGCCAACCTGAGGTCGTTCCCTCTTGTCCTGTGTCATTACCTGGGAGAAGATCCTGACCCTCACCCGGCTCCCCCCTTCTGTCAGGGAATTCCAGAGCCAGAAGGTCCCCCCTGAGCCTCCTTTTCTCCAGGATGAGCCCCCCCAGCTCCCTCAGGAGTTTCTCCAGCCCCTTCCCCAGCTCTGGACACACCCCAGCCCCTCCATGTGTCTCTGGCAGTGAAGGACTCAGCACCCAAGGTGCCTCATCACTGCCCAGCCCATAAAAGCAATTAAATTAATTAATTAAAGCCGTGGAAAATTAATTCTCCAGCCGACCTGTGAGGCTATTCCCCCCCAAAAAATAGGACAAAAATCATCAACCAGACGTGCCCAGGCAGGACCTGGGCACTGTCACCCTCCCTGGGTCACCACGCCGGGACAACTTGTGCAAGAGGAACCTGCAGTGTGGAATCTGCGATGTGGAATCCACAACGTGGAACCTGCAGTGTGGAATGAGAGTTCTGGCAAGGCTTCCCAACCATTTATCATGGATGCACACAAGCTGAGCCTTGTTAAAAAAACCTCTGGCTTTGGACATGCAGGTGTTGAGCAACTCCTGCTCTTCAGAAGGATCGGAAGGATCGGAAGGTGTTGCTTTTCCACCCGAGATCATTTTTTGTGCCTTTCTTTTTTTTTCCTTTTCTTGCCATGAGAAGCTTTTTTACATTTTAAATTTTGAATCTGAAATGAGTCACCTCTCTCACATCCCCCAGTGCTTTCTGAAGTGCGTGGGACCATCCCAAGCCAAGCATCTCTTGCCCTGGGCCACCCAGGGTGCATCGGGCTGAGTTTGCATCGGTGCATGAATAGGAAATGCTCCGTGGGTTTTGAATATCAGCGGCCTTTAACATCCCCCTGAAAGTGTCTCCTGGAGTGCTCTGTTTAACTGCAGGTGAGCAAGTCAAATGTAGCAGCTGCCACCACCATGGAATCCTGGAATGGTTTGGCTTGACAGGGATTTTAAAGATCTTCTGGTTCCACCCCTTGCCGTGGGCAGGGACACCTCACACTAGCCCAGATTGCTCCAACCTGGCCTTGGACATTATTATTCTCTGGGAGAGCTCCAGGTGTCCTCAAGGAAAGAGTTTCAGCATATTCCTGAATGTTTTTAAATTGATTTCCATGAGCAAAGGGCCCACTACAAAGTTCATATCACGTGGCTCGATTTGAATAAGTCCTGGAATCAGATCTATCAGCAACTGATTCACCTGCATCAGATCCATCCGTGTCAGATGCACCTGATAAAAAGCCTGGAATGTGCAAAGGGATTTTTATCACTTCCAAAACTTTCCCAGGCAGCAGATTCTTCGTTCCCAGTTCTTTCAAACATCCTTTTCTTACCCCTTCCATTTTCAGAGGAGACCATTCTTACCAATCACATTCTGCTTTTTTTTTTTTGGCTCATTTCCTCGTTTTCCAACTTCTTTTACTTTCTTCACAGCAAGTTTCTGGTCTGCCCTCTCAAGGAATTTCCCAGCAGTGACACCCACTGAAGGAACAAACCCAAACTCCTCATCCCTAACCTGGCTTTTGCTTTTCCTGCACTAAACATTGGATCAAAGGAATGAGATGACCCAAATCGTCATCTCTAAGCCCTCCTTGCTTTGCCTGCACAAACCATGGGATGAACCATCAGATTCCATCTGATCAGGTAACAACACCCCTTTAAATTAGGCAGAAAAACCTCATTAACGATGCTTTGTTAATCCACTCATTATTAGTTCTAGCCCTTGAGCATTTAAATTCCCATTAAATTCGGGGGCCCCCCAGGGCAAACATGTGGCAGCAGAGGCCTGTGCTGGACAGCATTTCTCACCCTGTAGCCACCCCAAGTGCCCGGGGATGATTCACATCAGATTTCCCTGCTCCACCCACGGGGGTTGCTAAAAATACCTCCTTCCTTCTCCTGCATCGTTTGTTTACATTCCTGCGGTTTTGTTCCTGATTAAAATAACTTCGGGGTTTCCCGGGGCCCTGAAGATTTCAGATGATTGCGTGGGATTGCCCCTGGGGATGGGGGGGGGGGGTTTAAAAATTCCCTTCTGGAACACATCCTGCTGGAGGCCAAGAGTCAAGATTTCCAAGGGACCTCCTTTTGGAGGCACCACCACATCATCTGCACCTCCCACTCGCTCCAACCTGCATTTGGGCACTTCCAGGGGGATGGGGCAGCCACAAATTCCCTGGAAAACCTCCCAGGGAACAATTTCTTCCCTACAGATCCAACCTGTGCTTGCATTCTATCAGTCTGAACCCATTTCCCCTTGTCCTTTCCCCGCAGTTCCTGATGAATTATTCCTCTCCAGTTATTCCTCTTCCACCCACCTTCCCTCCACCCAAGGGCTTCCAAAGCGAGAGAAGGAAAACATTTTGGAAAACATCCCCCGAGACTCGGGGCGGGTGGGAAAAAGCAAAACTTCCCCGTGTAGAGGGAAGATGAGGCAGGTTGTGCAGTGCCACGCGGGGCAACCAGAGGGAGACTGAAGGTCGCAGGATCGACTCTCAGGAGCTCCACCTCTAAACAAGGAGCAGGATTAATTAAAACACGCAGGGGATCAGGAATCCGGAGGGGTTTGACGTAATTTAAATTTTTTTTTAAATATAAAAATAAATAATTTAACAATAATTTGAAAAAATTAAATTTTTTTTTTAAATAAAAATTATTAATTAATTATCTGTCCTGCTCTGACCAACCCAGCATTTCGATTTTCTTGCTTTACAGTCGGTTTTAGTTTAGCTCTGGTCAGCTGAGGGCGATGTTTCTTCTGCCTCACTCCCTTCACTCCCTTTCCTTCTGTTCTCCCCCAACGTTTATTTCCTCTGAGTTTCTCCTGCCGACACTTCTTGGTCGTTTTTTCAGTGTTCAAAATGACCAGCTCGAGGTGAAGAAAAAATTCAAGTCCTGGGCTCTCCTCCTAAATTTAGGGGATTTTTTTTTTTTTTCTGGTCTGCGAAGCCCTGGAAAGACAAAGCACACCCAGTGAACCCCAATCCCACCGCACCCCTGGGGGGTGGGAGCAAGAAGGTCATCACAAGAACATCAGAAAGGAAAATTTTCCCCTTTCACCACCCAAAAGACCTTCCAAAAAGACTCTTGACCTGCCAAATATTCTTGGGGAAGACCCTTTTAACGATCATTTTTACCCCGGGGGGCCGTGGATTTGTCAAGACCGGCCTCTTTCTGCCAGAACTGAGGATTTAGGAGTTTTTTTTTTTTTTTTCTGGGAACACCCTGCAGAGTTGGAACACCCTGGGAACGTTCTGGGGCCTGCAAAGGTTTCACAAAAAAAACCAAAAAACACCTTAACACGCTGTCTTATGCAAATAGTTGGGTTGTCACAACACCCAGGGGTGCCACCCAGTCTTGGGCAAGGGTGTCACCTTCAAGGAGATAAACCAAGGTCATCTCTGGCGTCGTCCTAATTAGGCTGGGAGGGGGTTCACTGCCTCGAATTTGGGGCTTGTTCAGCTTTCCCCTGTGCAAAATCAGAGGTTGTGACAGCGCAGGAACCTGTGAGGCACAACTAACTCTGCTGAATTCCAGCCCCTTCTGCCCCGCGGGCAGAATTCTTGCTGATATGTAATGTTTGTCAGGGGGGGGTGATGTCAGCAAGCAGAGCTTCTTTGAAGCGAGATGGGGGGATGATGACGGGGCTGCATCAGCAAGGCAGCCACCCCAAAGCAAGTTTTGCCTTTGATTATTCCTCATTAGCAGATGCTCCTGACTCAGCTGCGCAAACAAAACTCCGACAGGACTGGTCT